CTCGTATCTAGAGGCAAATTTGGTCCGATCACTCCGATGGCTCTGAGGCTACGAGATTGAAATGATTCCATCCATTTAAGCTCGTACCCAGGCCACCTGTGCTTGTGGAGTAATCCAGGGGACGAGGTTGAATAAGTTATACGCCCGTATTTTAAAAGCTCACTCACACTCAATGAGTGGAGGTTCAATCTGAGCTTCTCTTGAGTGTCAGTGCTGTTTTTGAATAGCTGGAGGATTAGTGTCGTACCTTCTATGACTATGTGACTACTCATCCTCCGGCTTTTGAAAAACAGCATTGACCGCACTCCATGCCGTGTCCTATCAATCTCCTACCCAGGGCTCCTGTGCAGAACTGATGAGTTTGCACGTCCTCTATACATTAAAAATAAAATGAATGAAGGCAATCTCACTTCCTCAATGTGTGGGCAGTAAAAACCTCTTCAATATTAGCCATAACGTTGAATAAAAAATACAAATCTCATCTAAACGTCCTGAAATTGTAATAAAACCCACGCAAAATCAATTAAAATGAGTGAAATATTCACACACTATGATTGGATTTGAACTAACCACGCAGAAAAAAAGAGGTAGAAAAAATGAAACAAGCATTTTTTTACATTCACACGCCTTAGTCTATATAATATAAGTCTTGACACTGCATTTTTTATACGTTTATCCAAGTTACTGTCAGTATTTATAGTTCTACACAGGTTTCCATTTATAACTGTTACTGTTTTAATCAATGCTCCTAATCAATGTGGCTTTGGCAGGGGAAGATAAATTTGTAGGCGGATAATTGCTTCATGACGCATCGCACAAAATTATTTCATGAATTTTAACAAGAAATTTCTCTATCTATTTCTTCCTATCTATTTCTTCCTATCTATTTCTTCCTATCTCAGAGCATATTTTGTGGAGATTTTTTAAAACTTGTTACCTCTGCGAGGGGTTATTCGGTTTGTTTGTGTGCGTCTGTGTTTGTTTGTCCATCAAATCAAAAAGTGTCAAACGGTTTATACGAAAGTTTGTGAAGCTATATAATGAGGTGGCCGTATGCTAAGGAAGAATCGATCAAATTTTGCTTAAATTTTTATGAAAATTGTAAGAAAATTTCCTGCATCTCCAGGTTAGGTAAAAGAATATATCGAATGTATGCATCTATATTATGCGGTTGTTCATATATTATGACACTGATTCGATTCTTTGTTCAAGAGATACTTGACTTTTGCCGACGGATGTATACATTCCCTGAGCACGCCTCTTTAATTTTGTCTATATGTCAGTTTAACTTATAGAATCTAAAGTTTTTTTCATTTTTTAAAATCCTAGCGTGCATTCAGTGGATGTTTGTGGGGTGTCAAGCATACCGCATTCAGCTGCAATCATGCACACTGGCGGCAAAACGCTTTAATTTTACCACGCATCATTTAGCGCGTGGCTGCGCTATTACGACCCAATCAACGCTTGAGTTTTTTGTAGCTTTAGGGAAGACTGCGAGACAAAAATATATCAATTAACAACTAAATTGATTCTAATTAAGACCTCACGCAAATTCTTAGGAGCTAACATGCATTAACTACAATTCTGCACGTCTTATATGAAATTGTCAGTTTGCTTAGCCATAAAAGTTACAATAATTTGAATGGCCAATATACTGGGTGAGTTTCGATAGGCGTTATCGTGTAGCAGATGTCATCAATTAGCAATTATCAAAGTTGAAGTGTAAAAAAGTTCTCGGGTTCAAAGCTGGCCATGGGTTAAAATTTAACCTCAGAGGCTCAGACTCAGTACTCTTTTGGTTTCAATATTTCTGCATGTCTGTATATTTCAATACTTTGGAAAACAAAATTTCTGTTGATCCTGACAATATTTCTAGAAAACAGATATCTCCGAGCTGTTGGGATGATTGCTGTGTATTAACCTAGGTTTAAACTTATCGACCTTTGAACAACTGATCGGCTGAAGTTAAGCCATTAAATTCAGTTTAATTTGTTCAAAGTAACGGCTAACTGCACAACTATATAATTAAGCACACCTTGTTTGCTTAAACTTACAAATTATTAAGTTTAATGTGTTTCCCTCCCACATTACAATTTGATAGAATTATTTCAAGTACACTTCAAAAGTTACATCCTGTTTTTCTAACTTTCTTATCAAGTATACGTTTTCCTATCTTCCAGGATTATTTTGTAACTAACGTTTTCAACTCCTATATATAATCTTGTTTCATATGAATATGTTTTAGGTACTAAACACGTTAGATCTACTGATGCAACTGCATATTACTTTTTTAATCAGAGCTCCTAATCAATGTGGCTTTGGCAGGCAAAGATAAATCAGTGGGCGGATAATTGCTTCATGACGCGCATGGAACAAGATTATTTCATGAATTTTAATAAGAAATTTACAAAAAATTTTAAAACATTTCTCAGAGCTTATTTTGAGATTTCTTAAAAATCAGTTGTTGTCTTCGCCCGATGCAGGCGTTGTTATCACGTTGCTTTGTGTGTGTGTGTGTGTGTGTGTGTGTGTGTTTGTCCACCGAGTATACATGGCTACATGCATAGAAAAGTTACGTCATTCATTACATATAGTTAAAGCTGCACGTGGTTTTTCAACGTATACTTTAACGAAGTGAGGAAAAACAATTGAAACACTCGGGCTACAGGCTCCTGCTGATATTCACAGCCTCCCACGTATTGCACTTGCCGAGTCGCTTGTGTTTACAACTGTAAGAAAAATTTTTAAAAAATCTTCCATTTTAGTTTTAAAATCCGTTTCTCTTTTTACAGTTTTGTCAAAGTGTGAAGGGAAAACTCCTGTCAGTGTCTGTGCTAAGAAAGCTTCCCTACTTTATGTTTAGTGCGCGCCTTGTACAAGTCATGAAGAATTTTACATTTCTACTCATTTATTGTGGTGTTTCCTACACACATACAGTGCAGCCTTTGTTCACATAACTTTTTCTTCCCCATCGGACTCAGTTACTAGTACATTGAATGTCAGGAAATTTTGCTGGAGCAAAGGATAAAAAACATAAATATAAACAGACTTTTCGAGGGAAGGCCACTCGTTGGGAGGTTTTATGTTGGATTCCTGCAAGGCAGAGATCGCTGAAAAAAGTCTATTGAAAAATATATAAAACACCTTCTGTATAGAAAATAGTTATTAGTTTTGAAATATAGTTAGATCCTTTAACCAACAAAGAATTTAAAAAAAAGTTTCTGCCACTTGTATATAGCCTATCTATCTCGAAACTTCTTAACTCAAGAGGCTCTTGTCTTGACCACAAAGAAACTAATATCAGTCCTTATCAACATCTTAGAATTCTTCCTGTCAATCGACTTTTTTGGTCTCTTTTTTTACATCTAAAAACTAGACGCAATAAGCGCTATCATGCAGCAGATGGTGATCAATAATCTGCAGCTATCAAAGTAAAAAAATAACGTTCATTCTTTTCATTATATGTGGTAGTGATGCTTGTGATGTTACTCTGAGTGTAAATACACACCGGGCAAGCTTGAAAAATATGCCCGGCCACGGTGGGAATCGAACCTACGACCTTTGGAATACTAGCCCAATGCTCTGCCAACTTACGCGGTCAGGTCGGTTGGAGTAAGTGATATTTCGGAACAGAATCTAGTTCCTTCGATACCAATGTAATCTAGTAATATGATTTTTCTGTGTTGGTGTTGTGTACTCAGGTGAATATGTTTGTGATGTTACTCTGAGTGTAAATCCATAGGTTCGATTCCCACCGTGGTCAGGCATATTTTTCAAGCTCGCCCGGTGTGGATTTACACTCAGAGTAACATCACAAACATCATATTCACCTGAGTACACAATACCAACACAGAAAAAAATCATATGTAGTAGTCTTGTATTTGGAGGCAAGTAAATAGAATTGAACATAGTAGTAGTCTTGTTATTGGAGGCAAGTAAATAGAATTGAACATATCCTCAACAAGTACACAGTCGCGTTGTTCATGCTAATTTTGCGTGACCTGCGTGTGACTCAGTAGTGCTAAGCTTCGCAATTATTTAAAACATGTTACTCTAAGCGAATCACTCCATGCACAGCGAGTTTTGAACAACGAATTTTATGTTGACATATAGTGCATAAAATAGAATCGAAATAAATTTATCTGCGGGAAAGATCTGTATATTAAAAATGTATCATGTTTGACAACCATGGTCTTTTTAAAAGTTATTAGTTCGAACTAACTATATATAGAAGTTAAATACGAAGCTATAAACACAGAATAAAAAAAGTTGCCTGATTTTAAATTGCTTGCAAATTACGTGCAGAATTGAGTGGTAGTATGGAGGGGCCATTTCCAGCTACGGGACACTTTCTAGTTAGTTCGAAACTTATAAATATAAAATACTTTGCATGTTACAGCCTTGCATGCGTGTATGCATGTATATGAAAATAGCAAACTATAACTCAAAATTCTAACTTGCACAGTCTAACTTGAACTATCTTTGTCAGTATTGAATAAAATGAACAAGCTTTCGTTAGTATATAGGGATGCAACTACCTGAAAATATATAAGGAGCTTGTACATTCTAACTTGTACGCGATTGATTTGTTGTGTAGAAATTAAACACACCTTCATGAATGCAAATTATACAAAACTATAATTATACTTTAGCGATATAAACCTATTAGGATTATATGTATATGTATAACTATATTTAAATTCAATCAGAGCAACAGTTTTAGTTCTCAGGTATTTATATATAGCTACATCTGCTTATAGTGGGATATGTGATATAATAACGGCAGATATTAACACAATGAATATATCAGCACGCCTGTTATCTGCGCTGTTTCCGCAATCAGATGATTGCTGCGAGATAACGCCAGGCTTAAAAAGGCGTGCGCTCTGCGCGCTTTTGTCAAAACATCGCACGATTTGAAGACAAAACATATAAGATTATTTCACGTTAATTTTGTTTTATTAAACTATAGATTACTACTTGTAATTTTAAACAAAAGTATGGCGTTTTGTTTAAAAGGAATTCTGCTACTGCATGTTCTTGTAGTAACCTTACAGCCTCTAACAGGAGGGCCAGTGAAACGATCATGGAGCAACCAGGCAGATACTGTTCACAAAGCACGGGACATCCTCGAATCAAGTCAAGTCAACTTTTTAAAACGTCCTGAACAGACAAAAAGAAACCCTAGTTCGACTTTCAAATTTGTGAATCAATCCGAGCTCGCCAAAGTGATAGATTATCTGAAGAAGAAATATCCTGATGTAGATTGGTCGTTGGTGACACCTTTACCGACACAGAGTATTTCAGGTAAGAGAGAATTTGAAAATAAAAACTCTCTAGAACAGACAAAAAACTCCTCGTTCACCTTTCTCAATCAATCTGAAATCGCCAAAGGTTTCGATTATTTGAATAAAACATATCCTGACGTGGATTGGTCGTTTGTTACGCCTCTTCCTACATTAGCAGGTAAAGGAGAATTGGAACATGGAAACAGAACATTCTATTTCGTCAATCAATCTGAAATCGCCAAAGGTTTCGATTATTTGAATAAAACATATCCTGACGTGGATTGGTCGTTTGTTACGCCTCTTCCTACATTAGCAGGTAAAGGAGAATTGGAACATGGAAACAGAACATTCTATTTCGTCAATCAACCTGAAATCGCCAAAGGTTTCGATTATTTGAATAAAACATATCCTGACGTGGATTGGTCGTTTGTTACGCCTCTTCCTACATTAGCAGGTAAAGGAGAATTGGAACATGGAAACAGAACATTCTATTTCGTCAATCAATCTGAAATCGCCAAAGGTTTCGATTATTTGAATAAAACATATCCTGACGTGGATTGGTCGTTTGTTACGCCTCTTCCTACATTAGCAGGTAAAAAAGAATTGGAACATGGAAACAGAACATTCTATTTCGTCAATCAATCTGAAATCGCCAAAGGTTTCGATTATTTGAATAAAACATATCCTGACGTGGATTGGTCGTTTGTTATGCCTCTTCCTACATTAGCAGGTAAAGGAGAATTGGAACATAGAAACAGAACATTCTATTTCGTCAATCAATCTGAAATCGCCAAAGGTTTCGATTATTTGAATAAAACATATCCTGACGTGGATTGGTCGTTTGTTATGCCTCTTCCTGCATTAGCAGGTAAAGGAGAATTGGAACATGGAAACAGAACATTCTATTTCGTCAATCAATCTGAAATCGCCAAAGGTTTCGATTATTTACAGAAAAAATATCCTAATGTGAATTGGACCTTCGTTATGCCAGCATCTACATCCAGTCCAGGCAAAAGAGAATTGGAACATGGAAACTCTCTAAGACAGGTAAAGAGAACATTCTATTTCCTCAATCAATCTGAAATCGCCAAAGATTTCGATTATCTGAAGAAAAAATATCCTGATGTGGATTGGTCCTTCGTTATGCCAGCATCTACATCCAGTCCAGGCAGAAGAGAATTGAAAGGTCAAATTATGGAATCCAAAACGAACAGCATCACTAACAAAAGATTACTAGAACAACAAAAGAAAAACTTCCTTGATTCCGGCTCCATCCAGCAAAGAAACGACATCCCAAGAAAACACCATAATAGCGAAGGAAGCTCAAAACAAAAGGCAAGGGAAGATTTCACTTCAAGTTTTGAATTCCTTGATCCAGAAGAGGTAAAGAAAGAATTGGAATATCTGCTAGAAAAACATCCATAGGTCGATTGGTCTACGCTGATCGATACAACACCGGAAAGAAATATTTAAAAGAATAACACATTTAAAACAGGAAAAGTAAAATGATGTGTACCTGCATGAGAAAAGATTAAAAGCACTTTTCTCAACGAAGATCTTCTTCAGGAAGATATTCGTAAGGCTGCTGACTTCTTGACGAAGTCCACTTTTGATCGAACAGTGTTTTTAATCTTTCATTAAGCCGGTAGTTTAGACACAAACCACGGAAGCTTATTAATGTAGAATACTTGAACTGTCTTGCCGTGTAGGAAGTGCCAACAATAACAAGCTTTCGTTGGTAGGAATGCAACTACTTGAAAAATATACATAAGGAGAATTTCGACGTTTCGCGCTTCTTCCAGACGATGGGCCTTCGCTCGAAACGTCGAAATTCTCCTAGTATTTTTCAGGTAGTTGTATCCCTACAACGAAAACTTGTTATTATAGAACACTGCCTACCATAGAACACATCTTCTCAATTCAAAATCAGATAAGCATCGATACAATTTACCCAAGAGGGAGTAATTTTTTTCAGTTGAAATGCCTTTTGTTTCGCTTTGAGCTTATTAATTAAAAATCTATTCTTACGCTTGTAATTCTGTCACATATTATCGTGAATTTCTTTATTTTGTCTTTTGTTTATTCTTGTGCTTACGCTTATCTTACACGTGTGAACCAAATTTAACTAAATCAGCTGCCTAGGAGCTTTACCCTGTACAGATACAAGGAGCACAATCTACGGGTTTAATGTATTACTATAATATAGTATTTGACTTTATTGTCTGATAATTTTCTTCATGTAAATGGGACAAAACATTGACGATGCCACCGAATTTTGCAAAACATGTAAATCACATTATAAATACTTATTTATTTATATTCGCGAAATATGCATTCACAATGAAATATATGTCCAGATGAAAGAAATAAAGTTTATTTCTCTTGAATAAATATTTGTGTTCTATACATAGAATGGCGTTAGGGGCGGGCCATTAGAAAAGTGATGGGGGTGGGGCAAAAAATTCGCGCAAAGAACAACGAAAAGGGGGGAAAGTCGTGCACAAAGGGAAAGCAAAGAATAATACCTTTAACATTCCGAAAAAAAATTGCACACGACCGAAAAAATTCGTGCAAGCAGAAAATTGCCACCCCCCCTCCCAAAAAAAATTTACCTTCCTCAGTTGCAGACAGGATGATTTGCCCTCCTACGCATTTTTTGTATCTAATTCCTAAATTTATAAAGCAGATTTGAATCAGCCGATTTTATGCAAAAAAAGAAGAGGACTTTGAGTAGAGACAAAACACGCGATGTTAAAGATAGGAAGACATAGACATCCTGTTTACATGTCATCATGTATTATTTAGCATTATTAAGAACATGGTTAGATCATGCAGAGGTAATTTTAATGTAGGCTAGCCCTAAAGTGATCTGATGTTGTACAGAACTCACTGCGGACTTAATTATAAGCATGGTTACATCATACAGAGGTAGTACATGTTCTTCAATGTGAGCTACCTTAAAGTGATCTGATGTTGTACAGAACTCACTGCTGAGTTGAGCATGTTTAGATCATGCAGAGGTAGTACATGTTCTTCAATGCGGGTGTTGTATAGAACTCACTGCTGAGTTAAGCATGGTTAGATCATGCAGAGGTAGTACATGTTCTTGAATGTGAGCTACCTTTATAAAGTGATCTGATGTTGTACAGAACTCACTGCTGAGTTGAGCATGGTTAGATCACGCAGAGGTAGTACATGTTCTTGAATGTGGGCTACCTTAAAGTGATCTGATGTTGTACAGAACTCACTGTTGAGTTAAGCATGGTTAGATCGTGCAGAGGTAGTACATGTTCTTGAATGTGAGCTACCTTTATAAAGTGATCTGATGTTGTACAGAACTCACTGCTGAGTTAAGCATGGTCATCATGAAGAGGTACATATTCTTGAACGCGAGCTACCCTAGGAATTTGATGCAAACCATGTTCATGTTATAGCTTCGTATTTTTACTGATGATACTTGCGAGGTAATAGAAACGGAAGTTACACAAATGAATTAGGTAACAACAAATATAAAAACCTGCTGTCCATCACTTGGAGCGGAAAATCTCGTCTCGTTATCAGATTGTCTACGTGTATATCCATTGAAAAAAGAGATAAGCTGCTGCGAGGGAGGTCATGCCCACTAGTTATTTACAATTAATAATATTCATCACGTCTCTCAACACTGCTCGTGCAGTCGCAGATAATATAGCGAGACATTTGTACGACGAGGCAGATCTGCGATACACTGGAAATATTTTTCTGATTTTCACTATGGAAATAGTATGGACATCGTTGAAAATAGTATGGAAATCCAATTTTCATACTAATTGCAATCCCCAACAATGGATATAGTATGGAAATAGTATGGATATACTGTGAATATAGTATTCAATTGCAAATTCCATAGTCTGAATTTCATTATTTTTCCATTGTTATAAGACTCAGTAGGCCAAAAAAAAATATGTGGGTTTCCGGTTTCCCGACCCCTACCTAGCTTTTGGACGTCGAAATCCCGACCCTAAACTTTTTTATTGGATCACGCTTGTAAGTGTTTCCACTTAGAGGAAAAAGTTTGTGGAAAATTGAAATTTGAGGCAATATTAGGGAAATTTATCTTTGGATGTGGAAGCACCGACTAAACAAAATGGCGTCCGGTTGTTCGGAAAATTAAAAAAAAAGTTTAAAAAAAAGAAGTTAAAACCGACCTACCCTACCTAAGTTTTTATAAGAAGAAACCGGAAACCCACATATTTTTTTTTTTGGCCTTATAAAAGTGTTATACGACGGACTTGTCATAAGTTCCGCTATCTGATTGTGCACGAGTGGTCTCTTGCTGCTCTGCACCAAGCATATATTTTAAGAAATTTCAAACAGTGAGGGCAGATTGAGCACGGAATAAAATGAAATATTAGGTTGCTTGGCTAATAATATTACTACTAACAATAATATGCGTACAGCGATGCTAGGTGTGGTGCTCCACCGCTGCTGCAAAACACCTCCCTGTTTGGTCAAACGCAAGCGAAAAAATATTGTTTGCATTTGAAAAAAAAGTACTCGTGACTGCCCTAATGCTGCACGCAGTTATTAGTGAAAAATTGTTGAAGTGGGTCCAAAGTTTTCTTTCCATACTTTTTTCAAATTTTGTGCATAATATGTGTTTATGGTAAAAGTACTCATTATTGTATAGTTTACATAATCAAAGTATTGTACCCTAATATTAGTATGCAAAGAGCCATAAAATAAATAAATGATATAATGACTAGGAAAAGAAACACTATTAATGAAATAAAATATTAAATATATTTGGCCAAAAATAAAAGATTATTGTATACAATTAAAAGATTGGAAAAAATTTTCAATGTACATTATAATAATATATACCCAATATGCATTTTTACAATTACTTCAGACCCTATGATTAGGAGTGCCTTATTAACTTTTGTACACCAAGGAATAGACAATTACTTATTGAATAACCAACAAATCTATGAAATCTATCTTATATCAACTCAACAATTCTGTCACACAACGAAGGTATATCACACAACGTGTACTTACAGAATGATACATTGGTCTAAATTCTCTGTGTGTGAAATGTCTTGCCCATATTGTTCAATTCTTCTGCATATTGTTCTTCTTCATTTGCTAATAGGTTCTGTAGTTGAGCTCTCCGCACCTGTGGGAAAGTTCAGTTAGCCTCGCTATTAGTTCCATAAGTAGGAGTTACTATCGCAAGGAAAGTGCTGCCTCATCTCCAAGGGATTAAAGGCACCATGCAGAAGTTGTTGAATAAGGGTTATATGATCCCGCTTTGCCAGGACAAGATGTGAGGCAAGATTATTTTCATGTATTGAAATAAATTACGGTGCACGATTCAGCAAAAAACTACATTATTTTCGAGAGATAGTCAGATAGATAGTTAGCTGTAAACGAAAGGTTGTTCAAGCAGCAATAACAATCCTCTTGAACTACAAGATCTTCTCTACAGCATTTGAGCAATAAAGTCAGTTCTGGTGGGAGAGACAGGGGGAAATATTTAAAACCTGGGTCGCGTGCCTAAACCAGACAGCATATCGTCAAAATGGCATGGTATGTAAGACCCAAATTAGCAAGGAAAAACAACTCAAATTTTCAAGGAAATTTCGATTTTGAACCAGAGTTCCTAACCCAAGAATATTTAATCTTTTCAAGTAGCCACAGGCCCGGAACACCTGGGGGGGGGGTGGAAAAGTAAAAAAAGGGGACCCAACTTGCGGGAAGGGGGCCCTGGCATGCTGGAATTGCGAAATTTGTTAAATTTTAAGGATTTGTTCGGAAAATTTAGGTCGAAAACTAGTGTTGAGAAAAAATTTTTGCTTTCCAGAAAATTTCTTTGGAGGGGGCCCTGGAATGGAAGGGGGCCCAAATTTTTTAATACCCCCCAAATCAGATACTGGTTGGCATGGCCCTGGTCTGGTAGTCCATACAACAACCATGGCTGTGTTTGAGATTGGAAAAATTTCAAAAGTCGACATACAGCAATTAATTCTTGATTTGCATGATGGAGTTCTCCTTTCATTTCTTCGGCATTCCTCTTTGCTTTCTTTTTAAAACATGTCTACAAAAGTCACAATGATATCATGAGATTGAGCCATATGAAACCATTCATGAATGGTGTGTGCCAGTGTAGGTAGTGTCAATAATAACAAAGCTTCAGATTGATTGCTCAGGCGTAAAAAAATACCTGTAGTTCCGGTTTCATATCGCGAAAAAATTAAGGTCGGTAGGTCGGAAATTTTTTTTTTTAATATTTTTTTCAATAATTAGTGTGACAACAGATGCCATTTTTGCAGCAGCCCGCAACCACCCGGAGAAAATAGGGTCACACGGTCAATCGCGTTGAAAAAATAATAGAGTCGGCAAAAAAAAATAGGGTCGGTCGGGAACCGGAACCACAGATATTTGTTTTTTATGCCTCAGAATGTCAATCAGATTGATTGCTCAGAATGTCAATCGTGTATTTTTCTGGTAGTTGTACTATTCCTATCAATCTGAAACTTTGCAATGTATAGCCAGATCACTGTGTCACTTGTGTTAAATGCTCTTGCATCAAAGATAAAGACAATCATGTATTTGTGAATTGTGGAATATTGCAGGCTTTCCAATTTTACTTTTTTTTTTATTAATTACTGCAGCACAAGGAGTACCTCTTCCAATTTTTCAACCCAATCAGCCAGGAGTATTGTTCTCATATCACTAGAAACATAAAATATGTGTTGGTGTTCGTATAGACTAAGTAAAAAGAAGGGACGTACATCGTCATGAGCAAGAAAGTTAATGCAAAGAAGGTCTTTCATGCCTTTCTCCTTGGCGAGTAAAATCATCTGGTATTAGACAGAGTAAAATAAATAGTAGGGTGCAATACATGTCCACTTCTGGAGAGTATGTCACATTGGCCATAGTCTCGTCACTAGTCTTGTCACTCTCGTGTTCGACTTTAACTAATGTTACATACATGAAAACGAGGCTCCATAGATGTACTGATGTACTTCCTGCAAGGGTGCATTATGCCACTTGAAGGGTTACATGTAAGGCCCATTCAAACCAAGGTTCGACTTCTTTCAGTTAAGCCCACTTTCCACTAGGCAAATTTGTTCATGCGAAGTGAAAAACAAATCTTGGCAATGTGATTGGTAAGGGAAAAAATTCGGCTAGTGGAAAATAGGCTCTTAAGACTTTACAGCCAAAGTGAACGTTGTTTCTTACTTTTTAACAGCAACTTCTTTTTCTGTCATTGATTCGTCATTCTAAATTAAAAATAAAATATTTTTAAACACGACATTATATATTTCAGGCACTTTTATAACCAATGAACAAGACTAAACGACATCTTTGCCTTGAAATCTTATTAATTTTGGATTATGTACATTTTCAGGTTAACTCTATTAACCATGAAATGATGAAAGACAAGCTTTTTACAGTAAAAAGTTCTATTAACACAATTAATTATATTAAAAGACACCGTGTACTTGTATGTACAAATACATTTTATACAGTTTTAACCACATTTTATAGGCAATAAACATGTTATATACAAACAACTACAGTAACACAGTTACAAAACGTACTATTTTAGCCATGAGAAAAGCTTAAAACACACTAAACCCAACACGTGAAAAAATTTCAAATACCGCGCCATTTTAATACTTTAATAGTGTAAATCTCACTCACCCTAATTCTCTGTTGCTGCCGTTGTAGCGCTTTCTTTAACATTTTAGCACTCGGGTTCTCAACCTCGTAACGATATGAAGTAGACATAGACATTTTAAAACAAATTAAAGCAAGAAAAGTCCGAAAAATTGAGGTTTATTAATTAAACCTGTCCTGTTCAAAAACAAAATGGCAATCAATGCATGCATTTAAATTATCACGATGTTTCTTAGCAACGTGCGTCACCAGACCAAAGATTAGATACTATAAAGATGTGTCACTCGACGTATCTCCCTAATGTTTGCGTGTCCGTAATTTTCCGTGTTGATCACGAGTGATCACGCGAGATGACGAGTGCATAACACTTACTGCCAAAATGGTAGCCTGCTCACAGGCTCTATATAGAGCCTGCGACTTTTATTGATATTTTTTCAATACGCCCCCTTTGAGATAATTGAATATCCGGTAAATAGTAGCCAATCAAAGCAAGTTTTGTTAATTAGATTATCAGAGGTTATTAACAACAACAAACAGTTTCTCGCGCAATTTTACGCCTGTATCTTTCACTAGGATTCCAAGGTCTAAACTTTAATCTAAAATAATTCATGGTCGTTTTTTCCCTAAAGTGTTCTAATATTTAAAACATAGTCCCGTTTGTATATTGCTGTCTTGTTCGTACATTGCCGTTTTAAATTATGTAACTATACTACAGAGACGTAAAATTTTACTCTCTATTAGTTAATGTATTTTATATATTTATATCCAAAATATAACTGTAAGATTTAAGGAAACGTATTTAGGTTTTGAACAAAGTAACAAACACTATTTATTAAAAGTGTTCGAACAATAGCAGGCTAAAAAACAACATTAATCATTATTGCGTGAAGTCTGTCATTTGCTCAATAATACAATTAACTCAATAGACAATAGACAATTTGAAAACCCGTGGCCGTGGCATAGATTCTGCCGTGTTTAATAACTACATTTTTTTGTAAAAAGCTCTTGTTGTAATAATATATGTCACTAGTTGAGACTCCCAAAAATAAAGTCTCAAAGAGAGAGCGGACTTCGGTCAAAAACACGCAAACGACTATTGCAAAATTTCCAGGTGTAAATTCAAATTGGCCAGGTGTTCTAAGAACGACTTTCCTCGACGGCGTCTGTTTTAATAATTTGCCCATTGTCTTGACTTATTCAAGACCACTAGACCAGATTGTTTAGGCAGAAAGCCTTGGGTTGACAGGGAAGTATTTGGGAGAAATGTTCGGAGGCATTTGACAATCAACTGCTTTATACTAGCTGATTCACTGCCTGTGTCTCAACGAACGTCTCGCTGGGCTAACCTTAAGTTGTTCAACGTTTGAAACCGCAAGTGATGCAAACGCGGTTAGATAAATTGTCAGCCTGAACTAGACTTATTTTACTCTCTCTGCAAAGATCAGCAAGGCATACGTCGAAGTTTTCCCTTGTACTTCTTTGGAAAAGGTTTATTATTATAGCTGACGAAGACAAAGTATCGGTATATTACATGTAAACTTTTATCAAATCCCGTTGGAAGTACAGTTAATATTGCTAACCTTCGCTCATCCTTCAACGTTAATTTAAATTGAAAGGTTTCTCAAATACATTCAGTTACTTCTTCGAAGAGATAAACAAAGTCATGGTTTTATACGCCACTGATTGAATGCCAGCTTTAAAATTACATTGCGAAATGTCGTACGAGTTAAATATTTGCACGATATTAACTCATGGGGCACTTCTGACCAATGGGAATTTTGCGTACGCTCCGTACGCATAAATCGACTTTTTACTAATAAAGATCGCAGGCCGTACCTCCCATGCAGCCTCTGCCTGACAACGGCCTGCGAGCAGGCTACCAAAATGGCGGCGAGACTGAATCATTGAACTATAAATAAACTGGAAGGCTAACTCAGGGGGGGAAATTGAAGCCAGTGCATTTTAGTTTTTCTGAGTTATGAGCAGAAATACTCAACACTGAACGTTGGGCTATATATCAAATTGAAGCTATTAAAAAATGCTATTTGGTGTAGAAATTTCAAGATTTTAGCTAAAAGGGAAATATTGAAAAACTACAAACATAATTACCGATAATTTGCCGTTTTGCAGTTGTTTTTGTATTTTTTAAATATTTTTCTTTTTGCTGAAGTCTTGAAATTTCCACACCGAATAGCAATTTTCAATAGCTTCAATTTGATATATAGTCCGACGTTTGGGGTCAAGTATTTCTGCTCATAACTCAGAAAAACTATTTTGGCTTCATCAAATCATAGGCCTTTATCATAGCAGTTAGCCTTCCAGTTTATTTATAGTTCAATGGACTGAATACAATAGGTTGCCATCGCGATGCTCGCGCTATATGACGAATTTTGACGAATTTGACACTTACTGGCAAAATGGCGGCTATAAAAAAATCTCGGACATAATTTTCGCAGAGTGACACATCTTTATAGTATCTAATCTTTGACCAGACTGCGGACTGCAGACCATTGAACTATAAATAACTGGAAGGCTAAGTCAGGGGGGGAAGTTGAAGCCGTGCTTGAAGCTTTTTTTGTAGGTAGACCCAGTCCTTTTTAAATTTTTTTTTCAAAATATGCACATTTTTCGATCAGAAAAATCTTGCCCCAAAATATTAGTTATACTACCAAATTTAATTTATATCAGTAGTATTATAAATGAATTTAATATTCGCAAAGCAAACAAATCACGTATTAGCAAAAAAATACGAAAAAACACGGCCATAAGCATGAACGGTCAGAAAAACCGCGCGTTTTAGGCTGCTTTTTCTGAGTTTTTGGAAGTTTAAGATAAAACTAAGACGTCATACCTCAGGAATTATTTAAACCCATGCAAAATACATCTGTATGCGAAGTTTCAAGAAGATTGAAAGTTTTAAGGTCGAAAAAAAAGCATTTTAAAATTGACAAAAATATGCCATATTCAAAACGCTCATAGTGGCCAACAAGATGCCGATGACGAAAATAACATCACTTGAAAAACGCCAATTTATTTATGTTTAAAAGCGACTAAAACAAGGACTAAAAGCTCAGGATCAATAACAATACCTAGGGTTTAGTACAACATAAATTTTGGGACTGTCAAAATGTTTTATAGTATATATTTTTGAGTTGAACGGCGAGGTTTCCTTCGGCACGTCCAAACTTTCGTCATTTTTTCAAAATACAAAAGCAAAACTCCTTACTTTTTGCTGCAGAGAGATGTAAAACAGTTGGGACTAATCGGAAAACCTGGTTTAAATCCCAATCATTGTTGTATTCCCATGGAAAAAGTGTTTTTCTTGCAAATTTTTGCTCGAAAACAAACTTTTGGCAGAATTTTTTTCACTCCTAGAAACTCTCCTTAGTCCTTTTGAAAGCTGATTTTCCCGCGCGCCGGCTTCAACGAATCATAGACTTTCATCATAGGAGTTAGCCTTCCAGTTATTTTTAGAGTTCACTGGTCGACTCATTGAACTATAAATAAACTGGAAGGCTAACTGCTATGATGAAGGCCTATGATTTGATGAAGCCAAAATAGTTTTTCTGAGTTATGAGCAGAAATACTTGACCCCAAACGTCGTGCTATATATCAAATTGAAGCTATTGAAAATTGCTATCCGGTGTGGAAATTTCAAGACTTCAGCGAAAAGAAAAATCTTTAAAAAATACAAAAACAACTGCAAAACGGCAAATTATCGGTAATTATGTTTGTAGTTTTTCAATATTTCCCTTTTAGCTAAAGTCTTGAAATTTCTACACCAAATAGAGTTTTTCAATAGCTTCAATTTGATATATATCCCAACGTTCAGTGTTGAGTATTTCTGCTCATAACTCAGAAAAACTAAAATGCACTGGCTTCAATTTCCCCCCCTGAGTTAGCCTTCCAGTTTATTTATAGTTCAATGAGAGCACCTAGTCCCCAGGCCTTTACCAGCGCGACCGCGAAATTCAATATGGCGCCAAGCTAAGGAGTGCAGATCTTTTTATTCTTTTTGGTTGGTAGAACTTATATTCTGATATGCCAGGTATCTTACTCTTTACCTGATTAATCTGAAAAAAGATTTTATAAATGAATTTTTCTCAAACATAGTTTAAATTAATATCTATATGTTTCAGTGAATTATGCTTTAAAAGTAAAAAATAGATTGGCCAAGATAAGAAATTTTTGACACATTCAACTTCAATTTTGAAAATTGTAATAACAGCCTAGTTTATATTCCATAATCCACAGAGCTTGAAAATCCATGCGGAATGTACAAATTATTGACTTTTCGAGTGAAGTTCTGTTTGAATTTTTCAGGTACTAAGTTATATATAGTTATCTTGCTATCGTCTCTATCTAGCCTGGCACAGACCGTTCAAGATTGCAGATTGCACTGTTTAATTAGCACCAACACTAACAGTCATGGTGGCAGGGATGGATCCAGCATGATCTGGTAGAAGGGGGGGGGGTTGATCTGCCAGCTCTAATGCCGAGTTATGTTGGTCATGCATGCCACCCGCCCATCAACTTACAGGTCAAGTCTTGCTTGACTACTGTATTTGAATTGTAATTGTTGTTCACAGTTCGCTTCTTATCATGTTATCGATATCACTCAAATTACTGTATCTCATTTTGTCTCTAAAATATTTTTTTGCTTTATCATGAAAAATAGCACCCCCCCTGGCCAGGGCTAGGGAGGTGACCCCCCCAGTAAATCCATCCCAACATACAGTTGGGTTTATAGGGGGAGGGGGGTTGACGGAGGTAAACACCCTTGGCCAACAGGG